CGGGACTCGATCCCGGGACTCCAGGATCATGACCTGAGCCGAAGGCAGTCGCTCAACCAACTGAGCCACCCAGGCGCCCAATCAAGTCCAATTTATCAGTTTTTTCTTTTATGGGTTAGTGCTTTTTATGTCCTAAGAAATCTTTCCCTACCCCAAGTTCACAATGATGTTCTCCTATGTTTTCTTCAAGAAGCGTTACAGCTTTAGCCTTTATATTTAAATCTGCAATCCATCTAAAATTGATTTTTGTGCGTGGTATGAGGTAGGGGTTGAGATTTGTCTTTTTTCATGCGTTTATCCAGTTATGCTAGCACATGTTTTATTTTTTTTTTAAGTTTTTTATTTCCATTCCAGTATAGTTAACATACAGTGTTATATTAGTTCCAGGTATACAATATAGTGATTAGCAATTCTGTACATGACTCAGTGCTCATCATAAGTGGACTCTTCATCCCCATTACCTATTTCACCCGTCCCCCTGCCCACCTTCCCTCTGGTAACCAGCAGTTTGTTCTCTATAGTTAAGTCTGTTTCTTGGTTTGTCTTTCTCTTTTCTTTTTCCTTTGCTCATTTGTTTTGTTTCACGTTTTTGAAAATTCTTTTATATTCTCATTGAATTTGCCTTGGTGGCCTTGTCAAAAATCAGTCAACGACATATATGTAGTAGGTACACTTCTGGCCTTTCTGTTCTCTTCTATTGATGCTTTTGTTTATTCCTTGCCAGTACTACACTGTTTTGATTATTTTGACTTTATAATAAGTTTTGAAATCAGTGTGAGTCCTTCAGCTTTGTTCTTTTTCAAGATGGCTTTCACTATTCTACGTTCTTTGCAAGTTGTCAATTTCAAAACCTGCTGTGATTTTATTGGGATTGCATTGAATCTATAGACAAATTTGAAGAGAATTGACTCTTAACAATATGGAGTCTTCCAATCTATACATATGATTTATCTCTACATTTATTTGGGTCTTTAACTATATGACGCTATTTTATAAAGGGTATTTTTATTGTACTTTCCAATTGTTCTTTGCCAGTACACAGAAATACAATTGTTTTTTTTTTATTTATTTAACAGCCTTATTCAGATATAATTTACATAATGTAAAAATCACCCATTTTAAGTCTGCAATTCAGTGTATTCTCAGGTGAACTTACACAGTTGTGAAACTATCACCATAATCCAGTTTTAAATATTTCCATCACTCCAAAAAGCTCCCTTGTGTCTGTTTGCAATCAGTCCCCACTCCCAACCCAGCCCCAGACAACTGATGACTTTCTTTCTGTCCCTATAATTTTGCCTTTCTAGAAATTTCATATAAATAGAATCATATAATACCTAGGCTTATGTGTCTGACTGCTTTAACCCAGCATACTATTTTTTTAAGGTTCATCTGTATTGTTGCAATAGCTCTTTCCTTTTCTATTGCTGACCACTATTCCATTGTATAGATATCCTACGTTTGTTTGTCCATTCATCAATTGGTAGATGTTTGGCTGGTTTTCACTTCGGGGCTCTTTTGAATATTGCTTCTGTGAACATCAGTGTACAAGTTTTGGGTGGGCATGTGTTTTCATTTCTCTTGGGTATATACCTAGGAGTGGAATTGCTGGGTAGAATGGTAACTGTGCTTACCTGCTTGAGAAGCTGCCAGACTAGACTGTTTTCCAAAGTGGCTGCTCCACTTTATGTCCCCAGCAGCAGTGTATGAGGATTCTTGTTCTCAGCATCCTTGTCAGCAACATCTGATGCTTTCACTAGAGCTATCCTAGTGGATGTGAGGTAGGATCTCGCTGTAGTTTTGAATTTCATTTTCCTGATGACTAAGGACGTTGAACTTCTTTTCATGTGATTTTTGGCCATTTCTATATCATCTTTGGAGAAGTGATTATTCAAATCTTTTACCCATTCTTTTTAATTGAGGTAAAATTCACATAACATAAAGTTAACCATGTTAAAGGATAAAAGTCATTAGCATTTAGTACATTCACCGTGTTGTGCAACCATCACCTAGTTCCAATATGTCTGATCAAAAGGAAACCTCATGCCCATTAGGTAGTCACTCCCCATTCCTCCCTCTACCGCAGTCTCTGGTAATCACTAATCTGCTTGCTGTCTCTGTGGATTTACCTATTCTGGAATTTCATACAACTGGAATGATATAATATGTCACCTTTTGTGTCTGGCATCTGTTACTTGGTGTTATGTTTTGAGGTCTGTCTGCATTGTACCCTGTATCAGTACTTCATTCCTTTTTATGGTTGAGTAATATTCCACTGTATGGATATATTTCATAGTTGTTTATCCATTCGTGAGGTGATGGAAGCTTGGGTTCTTTCCGCCAGTTGGCTGTTGTGAATAGTGTTGCTTTGAACATTCATGTATAAGTAATCAAAAGATTGCTTTGGCCATCCTGGATCCCTTGATCTCTTCCATAAATTTTAGGATCAGCTTGTCAATTGTCAGTTTTTGCAAAGAGTTCAGCTGTGATTTTGAGCTCACTGAATCTTTAGATCAATATAGGAGGTATTGCCATCTTAACAATATTAAGTCATCCAATCCATGACCATGGGCTATCTTTCCATTTATTTTAGTCTTTAATATCTCCCAACAGTGTTTTGCAGTTTTCAAAGTATACCCTTTTTACTTCTTTTTGTTAAATTGCAAATGGTATTTTTACCATTTTTAATTGCATTTTCCATTTGCTTTTTTATCTGCCAGTACATAGAAACACAATTTTTAAGAGTTGACCTGTATCCTGGGTGCCTGGGTGGCTCAGTTGGTTAAGCGACTGCCTTCGGCTCAGGTCGTGATCCTGGAGTCCCGGGATCGAGTGCCGCATCGGGCTCCCTGCTCGGCAGGGAGCCTGCTTCTCCCTCTGACCCTTCCCCCTGTCATGTGCTCTCTGTCTCTCTCATTCTCTCTGTCTCAAATAAATAAATAAAATCTTTAAAAAAAAAAAAAGAGTTGACCTGTATCCTGATATTTTGCTAAGTGTACCTATTAATTCTAGTTTCTTTGTAGATTTCCTAGGATTTTTCTATGTAAACAATCCTCTCATCTACGATTAAAGATATTCTTTCCTTTTTCTTCCCAATCTTTATGCCTTTTATTTCTTTGTCTTGCTAGTTACACTGGCTAGGAATTCTAGTACAGTGTTGAATGGAAGTGGTGAGAGAGTGTACAGTCTTTATCCTGATCATAGGATAAAAGCATTTAGTATTTCATCATTAGGCGTGACACAGACTTTAGGGGTTTTTTGTAGCCATACTAGAGAGGTTTTTTGTTTTTTGTTTTTTTCCATACTAGAGTTTTCATAAAGGGCCGTAACCCTGATTAAAACCAAGAGACACCAGTGTTAAGGTTGGGACTTTTAGTAAAAAGACACTATCTTCGAGATCTATTCAGAACAACTTTACCAGGCACAGGGCAGAAACCCAGCCCACATTAGAATAAGCAAAAAGAGGCATTTGTTTCATGTGTAGTAAGAACATCTGGGAGTCTGCCTCGGGGGCACAGGGGGATCTGGGGAATCAAAATGCCATCAGGATCATTTCCATCTCGACTCTTTTTACACGTTACTTCAGGCCCAGCAGAAACCCCCCTTCCCACCTCTCATCACCTCATTTGCCAAAGATGTCACCAGCACCTCCAGATTTATGGCCAACTAACTTACCAGCTCTAGTAAAACAAAAGGGCCTCGTTTTTCAATAGTTCTAAAAAAAAAAAACAAAACTCAGGATTCATCATTTGAAGCTACTCGAGTCACATGGCCATCCCTGAACCAATCACTGTAGGCAAGGAAATGGAATGCCCTGATTGGTTGGGCCCATGCCACGTGCTCCTGTCCCTCGGCTCCAGGGCATGCAGTGAGCCCCACCTAAGAAGGGGGAGGGGCAGTTTCACAAAGCAAAATTAGAGTATTGTTATCCGGAAAAGAGGGAATAGGTCTCAGCCAAGCCTTAACCGCAGCTGCCCACACTCTCATACAGACGATCTTGTGTGTTCCAGGCCTGGCACGATCCCTGGAAGACTTTGAGCTTCAGTTTTCCCTTTTAGGGCATGCAGGTGGTGATCCCACCTGAAAGGTCCAATGAGGCATCCTACAGGAAAGCTGTGTCTCAACTATAAAGTACAGTGCACACGTAAGGGAGGGGTGACAGGAATGGTTACTAAGCAGCTGTTCTTACCCATCTGTCCATTTGTCCTCTTCTGTCTCTCTCACAGAGCACCTGAAGAAGCCACTCGAAGACTACATGGCCCTTTTCCCCAGTGTGAGGATTCTTCGAACCAAGAAACGGGAGGGGCTGATAAGGACCCGGATGCTGGGGGCCTCAGCAGCAACTGGGGATGTTATCACGTTCTTAGACTCGCACTGTGAAGCCAATGTCAACTGGCTCCCCCCCTTGCTCGGTAAGGGACCTTCCCAAGGCTAGGTAGGCCCCAGCCTTCTGCAGGGATCATCCACACGGGTTCCCTTGACTGCTTAAGATGCAGCCAACCAGTACCAGGTGCCACGGGGGACTCAGGAATGCTCAAAGAAACCTTAAAAATCCACTCAAGCCCTATCCCTTCATTTTACAGAGAAGGCAGCCAAGAGGGTAAGTGACTTGCCCAAAGTCCTACAGCACACTAATATCTACTTACGTGATTGCTTCCCCCAGATTACTTCAAGTTTTATTGGAAAGCAAGCCAAGGCTTTCTACTGGTAGGAGCCAACCTGTGGAGAGACATTATCCTAGCAACTTAGAATAGTTAACATTCGCTGCACTGCTACTGAGCCAGGAAACTTGTCAGGGTTATTTCCAGCCCTCACAAAACCACGCCGGGTCAGAAGTGTCCCCATCTTCTAATAGAAGAAATTGAGTTTCACTGAGTGACTCAATATTGTTCCCTTGGGTCGTAAGTGTCAAAGTCACCATCTGTCTGGCCCCAAGGTCTGTCACTCTCACAACGCCGCACTGCCTTCCCGAAACTCCTTTCCTCTCTGGAGAGTTTCTGACAGCTATCAGGAAAGGGCTGTGGACAGGGCAACACGATCCAGCAGCCATCCACCATAGCCTTGCAGACAGAAGGGAGGCGTGAGGATTCGATTCTGGGCAGTGAGGTGCCTCATAGCTGGCTAAGGAAGGAGGTCTGAGTTCTGCGGAGCTCAGATTCGTTGAATGCGGTGAGCTGGTGCTAACAGGTAGACATCGAGGAAATGGCCCATTGAGACCAGGAATCAGGTGAGGGACAGGGACGGAGGCAGATCGGAAAAGAGTTGTCAGTCTAGAGAGAAAATGAACTCCTCACCCATGGGTGGGTATGCTCTCCATCACAGAAAGCTGGGGAGCAAAGGGGATGAAGCTTAGGGCCAACTTGAGCCTGCATCGGAATCACCTGGAAGACTCATTAAAACACAGAGTGCTGGACCCCACCCCGGAGTTTCTGATTGAGGAGATCTAGGGGTAGGGCCTGAGGAGCCGCATTTCTAACCATCTCCCAGGTGGTGCCACTGCTGTTGGCCCAGGAACCACACTTTGAGGAGCACTGGTTAGGCCACCAAACAGAGGTGAGAACAGAAAACAAAACCCACACAGTGTAATGGGATAATCCAGCAAATCTGTTTTCTGACGCAGATTGGCATGGAACCTCAGTATTAGATTGTATGCTTCTGACCCCAAGGGTCCAGGATCCCACTGGGTTAGGAAAAGGATATAACACAGATTTTCTGGTAAACTGTTTATTTAATTAAGCCAAGAGGTCTCTGCATCTGCCTCTCATTACTGAAAGAGAAAAAGGAAAAGAGAAAGAAAAAAGCCTCACCATAAATCACCTAATTTATGGTGCTGAAGGAACAACCCATTTTTGGGGTCATCCAGTAACTCATAAAGGGAACGAAGTGGTGGGGCACGAAGCTGAGCTGGGAGCCTAAATAGCCCTTAACTCTGTTTCTATGGAAATATATGAGGATAATTTTCATAATCTGCAGGATACATGGAAGAAACATGCTCCCTTTTTTTATTTTTTATTTTTCTGATAGAAATGTGAACGGGTGGTGTAGATGTAAAAGTCTGTCCCTGTTCATACGAGCAGCTGACAGCATGCATCAGGGCTTTTGTCTCGAAACCAGTAACACCTCCTTGCACAGCTCACTCCACCTTCTGTGGCGATGAGGCATTCCTGACACTGAGAAGGATTCATCCCCCCCCCAAAGGAAAGCAACTGTTGGTCCTCATTTCCACCACCACCATCATCATCATCATCATCATCATCATCATCATGGCTCTGCTAGTCCCTTAGCTTTTTACGACACAGCCACATTTGAATTTGACGGTTATGGAGTAAAGCAGACAGGCCAGGCATTATTATCCACATACAACAAATGAGAAAACTGAAGCACCAAGAGAACGAGGGAGATGCTCAGCTTCTGAGCTTCTTTAAGGAAGCCTGGTGACAGACCATGTCGGCAGAATGCTGATGGGAAGTGTGGATGTGCGAGAGGCTGGGCTGAGCATCTTGGCCCCGCTGTCCCACTCAGTCTTCACAGGGACCCCATGAAACTGGTGTTGTCTTCCTCCATTTTGTCGGCACGGAAACCAAAGTCCAGAGGCATCAGATAAACTTTGTCAAGGTTCTACTGCTCGTAGGTGACAACACCAGGGTCTGGACCTGGGCATTCTGTCCCCCAGTGAGTGCAGCACCCCAGAATGCTGTCAGTCTGATGCTACCCCTTAACTTCCAACCTCCCACAATCAGCCAGCCTCCAGCAGAGCTCTGTGTCCTGAGCCCAGAGCCTCCGTAGAAGTGAAATCCCCTGCGTGGCCCTGAATAATTGGGAAGGGAAGCGCTTCTCTAGATCTTCCCTTGGAGAAGTTTCTTCGACTTCATTAAGCATCCCGAGGGAGCCCGTTCACCAGGCAGATCCAAGCTCCACCCCCAGAGATTCTGATTCCGTGCAGCTGGGCAGGGGCAGCCCTGAGGGGTATGTAAACACACTGTGGGTGCATTGGCACTGGCGGCCAGAGGACACACTGCCAAAAGCAGCGTTTCTCAAACTGTTTTGACCATGTGCCACAGTTAGAAATACATTGGACATCTCAATCCAGCACACAAACACACACACCGTGCAGTAGGACTGAAACACATTTCCTGAAGAAGTACTTTTTCTTATCACTGGACTGCACCCTGACATTCAGCATTCTTTTTTGGTTCATTATACAAACACACACGCACACACACAAACACACACTCAATTTCATGACCCACCTATGGATCGTGTCTTGTAGCTTAGAAAAAGGCAGAAATGCTGCTTTCTCTCCTGGAAGAAAACTCTGTTTGATGAAGTCTGAGCCCTAGGCAGCTGCCAGCCTTCACTGGCCCTACCATGTTCCACTTTCCAAGCCTTGAACTTGACTGCTGGCCCAAGCAGACAGGCACAGCCCACTTGCCCTTTATGGTAGATCATCTTCCCCAATCACTGGCACCCCTCAAGCTACAGTCACAGCTTCTTCTTGGAAGGAACATTGAAGAACAGAGCCAACCAAAGCTTAAAATTCTGGTTGGTAGGTTGGGCAGAGTGAATTTTATAGAATCAGCTCCTCCCTGGCTTAAAGGGGACCATAAAAAGCCATCTGGTTAGGGACCCCATTTGCCATCTTGAATCACCTAGCCTATAGCATTCCTGCACGGCAGAGGTCTGCCAGGCCCTGCTTGCTTGCACACGTCCAGTCATGAGGGACTCATGGGATAGTCTATCCCTCTTCAGTAGTTATGACTGATGGAAGAAGTGAGCTGAACTCTCACGCAGGGAGGGCCATTCGGCCACTGACTATAGCTAGGAAGTTTTGAGGAGCTGTCAGGGGCAAGTGCCGGGATGCCTGGCTACTTTGGGCCACGAGTCAAGGTTAGGACCTGGAATGCGGAGCCAGGACAGGAGCCCTCCCAGAAGGAAATGAGCCTCTTTCCACAATAGTGCTGACCATTACAGGCAACTGTGCTGAGCACCTCCAACCATCACGGTATCCGGGTACTGATAACCACCTGGGACGCAGAGCCTCTTCTCCCCATTTCACGAAGGAGAGCACTGGGGCTCAGAGACATGATTTATGTAGTTCACAGGTAGCAGGGCTGGGATGGGAGCTCTGGCCCATCTTTCTTAAAGCCTGCACTCTCCCTTCTTCTTGGGATTCTCAAACTCGAGTGTTCAGAGAATTCACTCAGGGCACACATTAAAAATGTGAGTAAGCTGCAGAGCAGGGTGCTCCCTAGCTGCTCCCCCGTCCTGCCTCCCTAATGGGCATCTCTTGGCTTCTTCAGACCGCATCGCTCGGAACCGCAAGACCATCGTGTGCCCGATGATTGACGTGATTGACCACGATGACTTTCGGTACGAAACACAGGCAGGGGATGCCATGCGGGGCGCCTTTGACTGGGAGATGTACTATAAGCGGATCCCAATTCCTCCAGAACTGCAGAAAGCTGACCCCAGTGACCCATTTGAGTAAGTACAAGCGACCCAGGCTGGTCCCAGTGACTGATGCGGTGACCCCTCCCCAACACACCCAGCTCAGGATCACCCCCGCCCCCAGGAGTGCGGTGCAAGGGGACCAGGGCCGACATCCCCTACCAGAAGCACAGCCGCTCCTAGCTTGTCACAGAGCCTCGGCTCGGGGACCTCCCAGCTGGCCACCTCTTCTTTGTCCACGTCTTTGGTTGGCCGGACTGCCCACAGGGCCATGAGCACTGTCCCTCAAGCCTGGTGCACAGTCATCACACCAGCAGCACCAGCACGGCCACCACGTGCTGCACCCTTGCTAAATGCCAGGCACAGTGCTGGGCACATCGCATGCAGATCCTCTTTAACCTCCCCCAGCCATCTGTAGTCAGAATTATTATCCATATTTTCCAAGTGGGGACACCAAGTCCCATGGCGTGAGGCAGCTTTTCTAGGTCACACAACACGGAAGGGGTGAAGGCAGATGCACACGCAGGTCTGTCTGCCTCTGGAGCCGGTGTTCCCATCATTCAGTTACACCCTCTCGGAAAGATTAGGGAAATATTCGGGAAGTAGCAGCTTGTCCCATGGTAGAAGTTTGGGGAGGTGTGGACTGGACCCATAACATCCTAGAATGTGAAAGCCAGGGGGACCTACAGGTCATGGACTCCAACCCCTTGCAGATGGGGAGACTGAGGCCCCAGGACTTGGCGAGGGGAGGAGGGGGGAGGCGGCTGACTTATACAGTGAGTTAGTGGCCAGGCCAGGATTAGAACCAGCGCCCCTCTGGCGCCCATCCTGTGCTGTCCTGTGGGCCACTCTGGCTCCCCTGCTGGAGGTGTGGAAAGACCCTTGGATACAAAGCTGACACCCAGCTTCCTGCTGTATTAGTTTCCTAATTAAAAATTAGCACAAATTTAATGGCTTATTAAAACAACACATATTTATTCTCTTAAAGTTCTGGAAGTCAGACGTCTGAAAAGGAGTCTTACTGAGCTAAAGTCACCATATTGGCAGGGCTGTGTCCCCTTTGGAGGCTCTAGGGAGGAATCCGTTTGCTTGTACTCTCTAGTTTCTAGAGGCTGCCCACACTCTTTGGGTCATGGCTCCTTCCTCCACCTTCAAAGCGAGCAGCATAACATCTCCAAGTCTCCCTCTCTTTCCCCCTTGCCTTCCCCCCGCCCCTCCTGCCCCTGCTCCTTCTTCCTCCCCCATCCGTCTTTCATCATCACATCACCTTCTCTCACTCTGACCCTCCTGCCTCCTCCTTTCACGTACAAGGACCCCTGTGATTGCATGGGACCACCAGGACAATCTCCCCATCTCAGATCCTTCACTTAATTATATTTGCAAAGTCCCTTTGCTATGTAAGATGGCCTATTCCCAGGTTCCAGGAATTAGGCATTGGCTTCTTTGGGGGGGCCATTATCCTGTCTACCACACCTGCTTAAGCACAGTTTAAGCCCAGTGAACCCCAGCCTCCCTGCACCTCATGCTCCCCATCTGAGAAAGGGGTCTGTCGGCAGCTCGACCATCTTCATGGCACAGGGAACACCAGAGTTCCTGAGGGGAGCCCCTAATGTTATGGGCCCAAGGGAAGGCTCAGAGGGAGGAAGAGATGAGCTTGTTTGGGGAAGTAAAAGGTGGCTGGGCAATGGAGCAGTGTGAGCTGAGAGCATGGGAGGAGCCCTGTGCCTCCTGAGCAGGTCAGACGTTGGGTACAAAGTGTCCTAAGCGCGGTCAAGCACTACTGTTGGAATGCGAGCCCACATCATGCAGTCAGCAGCCCCCACACACCCGAGGCAATCCCCAGTTGCCCTGAGTTCTCGAGAGTGCTACTACTAAGACGAGTACTAACATCTGACCTGAGCTGGTAGAGCAGCCACAGGGGACATTACTTGACCACACACGGTCCTCACCAGGGCGCCCCGGGGGTGGGTACAGTTCTCCACCTTTGCCTGATGCAGACCCTGCAGCTCAGAGAGGACGTGAGACTTGCCCAAGATGACATGTAGCAGCAGCTGAGGTCGGAATGAGCTACTCCAGAAAGCAGACTTTCCAGGGTAACCAGAACCCCTTTTGGTTTGAACCAGTACCATAAGCAGACTTGTGGGCCCTACATTTGAAATGTGCAAAAGGATGGGTCCCGTACATCATCTTCTCATTGCAGGATGAGGACAGGGTAAGTCCCGGGCATGCAGCTGCTTAGTGGCAGAGGTCCCGCTGGTTTCCTCTGGGGCCTCTCTCCCATGTCTCACCTGGAAGGGGCCGGGCCTGCCCTAGAGCAGTATTCTCAACCCTGCACACTGGCATCACCTGGGGAGTCTGTCAAAACAAACAAACAAACCCACCAGGCCACCCGGAGACCAGTTACACCAGAGTGTAACTGGGGCTGGCCTCCAGGTATCCGTGTTCTTTAAAGCTCCCAGGGGATGCCGATGTGTGGCCATGGTTGAGAGCCACTGGCCTAGATGCTTCCTGAGGGACTCTCCATCCGTTGTATCCTCTGATTCTTACCAGAAGTATCTTTTCTGTACCGTACTTGGACAAAACCCAGGGGAGAGGCAACTAGAAAAATCCTGGTTATTTTCTGCACTCTTCTGCACGGTGCCAGTAAGCGGGCAATCTGCAGGCACAGGGCAGTGGAATGTTTGAAGGGCACGGGCTTTGGTGGCAGCCCCCCCCCCCCGCTGGAACTGCAGATCATCCACTAACTCAGTGTATGCCCTTGAGCAGAGTGTGTAGCATTTCTGGATTTCAGATTTCTCCATCCGAAAAGGGGGCTAGGAATGGAGCTTTGTGAGAGCTGAAGATGATGTCGGTGAAGTGAGTGGTAGACGCTAGATACTCTGAATAGTTTTTGTTATTATTGCTGAACACAGCAGAAAATAGACTGGGCCAGAGGAGAGGCTTCCCTCTGGAGGCAAGCCTCGAGCATCCAAAATGCCTTAAGGCTAATATCCTCCCGGTTCCACAGCAGCTCCGCAGCCCTTGCCACTGGCTTCCACCCAGGCTGATTTCCGTGTGCAGTCTTGGGTTTGATTCCCATGAAGCACGGGCGCAGAAACACTCCCTGCCTCTCCAAGCAGGGTATTTGCGGCTCCAGCCAAAAAACCCAAACCCCACAACCTTCAGGAGACAAAGGAAAGTTGATACTAGACACCTTATTTTTCATACTACTGGGTACTCTCAGAAATATAACAACAAGGGCGCCTGGGTGGCTCAGTTGGTTAAGCGACTGCCTTCGGCTCAGGTCATGATCCTGGAGTCCCTGGATCGAGTCCCGCATCGGGCTCCCTGCTCAGCAAGGAGCCTGCTTCTCCCTCTGACCCTCTCCCCTCTCATGTGCTCTCTCTCTCTCATTCTCTCTCTCTCAAATAAATAAATAAAAATTTTAAAAAAAAAAAAAAAGAAATATAACAACAATGCGAGCTAGGAAACACAGCTATACGTTCATCCTGTAGATGGGGAGACCGGCTCAGAGGTGTTAAATCAGACTGTCCAGGAGAAATATAATACGAACTACATAAGTACTTTTAAATTTCCTAGTGGCCACATAAAAAAAGGTAAAGAGAAGCAGCTAAGATTCATTTTTGTAAAATACTCTGTGTAACCCAGCATACCTAAAATAGTCTCATTTTAACATGTAACCAACACTTTGAAATTATTTTTTTAAGATTTTCTTTTTAAGTCATCTCACACCAACATAGGGCTCAAACTCTCAACCCCAAGGTCAAGAGTTGCATGACCCACTGACTGAGCCAGCCAGGCGCCCCTGAAATTATTAATGAGGCCTTTTCTATTCTTTTTTTTCCACACTAAGTCTTGGACTTCCAGGGTGTATCTTACACTTCTGACACATCTCAATTCAGAGTAGTCACATTCCAGGTGTCCAGTAGCCTCATGTGGCCCATGGCTGCGGTACCAGGTGACACAGGGTTAAATGGTTAAACACTTTGTCTCAGATCACACCAAAGGTAAAGGAGAGAGGAAGCTGGAGGGATGGCTTTCCCATCCCTGATCCCCTGTCCTGTTCACGCATCACCTGCCTCTTGATTGCTCCTTCTTGACAGGAGGAATTGTTCTGTGGCCCTGAGGGGTGTGAGCTCTGGCAAAGATTAGAAATTCAAAACCTGCTTTAAGTAGCTGTGAAGCCTTGAGCAAGTTACCTGCCTGTGCTCTGGTTTCTACCTGCGCCAGTGGGGTGATAAGGATGAGACCCATCTCATGAGGTCAACGCAAGGAGTGGTCATCTTATTAAAAAATTAGTTCAGGCAAGCACCTGCCACATTTGAGCCCTCAGTGAATATTCAAGGGGATGTTCTTTTAAAGGAGTCCCTCCTATGCTTTCAAGGCTCATCTGCTACAGGAAGCTTGGGAGGCATGTGGGTTAGCTATGTTCTTTTTAAATCAGCCCAATTTCCATGAGCTTGCAGTTCCCAAGGCCGGGAGGTGGCATCAAGTTTGCTGCTGGAATGTTATTTGGTCTGAGGGTTTGGAGTTTCCAGTGGAGCCGGATAAGGACACGGCCACTCTGAGAGATCTTCCCTCAGCAAATACCGGTGGCCCCCCTGGGTGCCAGCGCTGTGTGAGGCACCGTGGGGATGCAGGCAGGCTACCGCATGGCATCCCCCTTGGGCGTGGCACAATGCCATGCTGACATCTTGTTGCCCGTGGTGCCCCCGATTTATCATCTCTGTGCTCTTGCTCCTGGGCTTTTCCTCTGCGGGATTCCTTCCTCTCCCCTCATTTCCCACTTGTCCAAACCTACCTCGAATGCCACCCCCTGAGCACCCTTCCTGGACTCTTGCCGCAGCCTCCCTCCTTGCCTCCAAAACCTGGAGGCAGATACTCCCTCCTTTCATGTTCCTGTGGTGCTGTCTGCACCTGCCAGAGGCCCTTGTTACCTGTCTTCCGGATCCTTCTGTCCTGAGGGGGCTGCCCTTGCACACTAGAACCCCCTGAAGTCCCAGGCCAACTCCGATTTACCACCACAGTCTCCCAGCGTCTGCGGCTCAGCTGGTACTCAGGGACTAGAGCAATGAGACAGCAAATGGGCGCAGTTAATCGTATCCCAGTGTAACGGAAAGAACAGACACTGTGTCTTCTTCTGCAAACTCTCAGCAGAACAGATGTCCAGTGCTGGGCTGACTGAGAATCATCCAAGGAACCTGTTTGAAAACACACATTCCTAGGCTCCATCCCCCAGGGACTGCTTCATAGGTCTGGGGTAGGGCCCAGCAAGCTGTGTTTTGTCTTCTCTCTAAGAGATTCCACAGCGCAGACAGGCTCGGAGGGACCTGATTCGGAGCATGTAACCCGTGGGAGGACCAGAGAGGCATGGCCAACGCAGCTGCAAGGCACGCACATTCCTGTGATTTCCTCTCACAAGTAACGGTTGAAAGGCGCTTTGGATCAGTTTGGTTAAAATGTAGCATTTAAGAAGGGAGGTTATGGCCAAGGTAGAAGACAGCCTGGGCCCTCCCTTGGAAGGGCCTCGGAGTCCCCACTAGACATGTGGGCTGTGCTCACAGGGCATCGTGCAGCACCATCCCCGGGGGAACAACAGCGTCGGCTCACACCCAGAGCACGCGGCCGGGGCGTTTGGTCTTCACACCGCACTCTTCTTCCCTGACAGGTCTCCCGTGATGGCCGGTGGACTGTTCGCTGTGGATCGGAAATGGTTCTGGGAGCTGGGCGGGTACGACCCAGGCCTGGAGATCTGGGGAGGGGAGCAGTATGAAATCTCATTCAAGGTGAGCCAGCTTTTTGGAAGCCCCCTTCTCCTTGCCACACCTGCCTTGGCACCTGTCCTGAGGGTTCTGCAGCTCCTGTTGCTCAGGTGAAGAAGTCAGGGGCTGTGGGCCACTCCTTGTGGTGCGTGATAGTGGACATGGGGTGTCTCCTCAGGCTGCTCAAGCCTGGCCTTAACCACAGCTCTTACATCATCCACTTCTTAGGACGGCCGAGTTAGAATAAGACAGGTCTCACTTCCAGTCAAGATGGTGCCGTGTCTCCCAGTGAGATGCGCGGCAGACCAGCAGCGGGGAAGAGAAACCAGGACAAGGAGGGTACACAGGCCTAGGGGAATGCTGTGCTCCGGGGTTGGCCCCCGGCCTCCCAGATTCTGAGGTAGCCTGAGTGCTTCCTGGCCACCCCTCTCCGGTTTTCCTTTTTGTATCCACCACTGCTGGAGTTTGCCATAGAGACCAGTGGTCAGGAACTCAAGTTGTGGACTCAGAAAAGTGTGGGTTCAAATCCCAACTCCACTTTTCAGGAGCTTGGTGATTTGGGGCAAGTTTGATTGGCTTTCTCTCCTCATCTGAGGTAAGATGGCAATGATACTACCTACCTTACAGAGCTCTTGTGAAGATTGAATGAGGTAATAGAAGTGCTTAACATGCAACCTGGGCACACAACCAGCAATTAAGAATTGGTAAAATTTATTAAAGATCCAGTGAAGGGACGCCTGGGTGGCTCAGTTGGTTAAGCGTCCAACCGTTGGTTTCGGCTCAGGTCATGATCTCAGTGTCCAGCGATCGAGCCCCGCATCTGGCTCTGTGCTCAGCAGGGAGTCTGCTTGAGATTCTTTCCCCCTCCCTCCCCTCACCCCTCCCCTTCTGCTCCTCCCCCTGCTCCCTTGCATGGGGCAGGCATGCACACTCGCTCTAAAATAAATAAACAAAAAAATCTTTAAAATAAAAAAGATCCAGTGAATAAATATTTACACCAACCCATGTGCTATAGAAGCTTCGACAGTGGTAGTAGGGAAATGGTGGTTACTAGTTAGCCACCCAAACTTCTGGGGCCACTTTCTCCCCTTCAGTTGTGGGATTCCATATTGAGTCAGGTGAAGAAGAGAGGCTTGGTCCCTCTGAGGGGAGGTGGGCCAGGGCCTGCTTCTGACATCCCCGGGGCCCCTGGGAGGGCATACCCCCGCCCACGAGGGATGGCCAGTGGCACATTGCTGGGAATACGCAACCCTGATGCGCCCCTCCCCCAAATTGGGCACCAACTTTTTATGCAAGAGACCATTGTCTCACACAGTGATTGAGCCTTCAGTGCTGGGGTCACATCCCATCTCTGCCACTTCTGACCAGCTACGTGATCTTGGATAAGGAAGGCTCACCTCACTGAGCCTCAGTTTCTGCTTCCACGAAATGGGCTTAATGATACTTGAATCCTCACAGGGTCATGCAGAGGATTAAATGCGACCGTGCGGGTTGGGTGCTCCTTAACAACATCCCAAAGGTTTTCATTCTCGACATCATTGTTGTCCCCTTGTGCACCACTGGTTGAGCCGTTCAGAACCAGGGAACATAAACCCTTGATTAGCAAGAAAACACAACCTGGCATTCTGCCACAACACTATTTTGGTTTGAAGGGCCATCTGTGTCTGTTTTAGCTCCGGACTTCTGAAGCTGTCTCCCATATGGGGACTGGCCCCTGAACTAACCCTCATGTCCAGGAGTGATACTCGAAGTATTTAAGGGCAATGAGGACACAGGCACCAACCAGTCAGAGCGGACACCAGCTGCAGACAAGTCTGTATCCCCTCTGAGGTACAATAGCTGGATTTCAGCCCTACTCGGAGCTGACGGGATGCTGTGCCAAGCCCTTCACATGTGTTGGCTTGTTCAATCCTCCCAGCATCCCTAGCAGAGTGATGTCATCATTATACCCATTTCGCAGGGAGGCCAGTGGGGCTCAGACCAAAGCCCCACACAAGTGGAGTAATGGAACCAGGACCTGGCCCCAGGTCCTGGCTGCAGAGCCCGCACTCTGACCTGCCAATGTTTCCTAGACTTCTGTAGGGACAGGAGAGGGAGAGAAGACTCGTGAGAGGAAAACGAGCCTGAGAAGCTGGCTGCAGTCTTTCCCCCTTTCTTCGATTTTTGCACCCTCCTGGGGTTATTCTTAATTTACTGGGATAGTCTACAGCCTCTCAGTGAAGTGAATTCATGACAGTCTAAGTGAGAAATAGCAAATAGGTTTCCTCTCGCAGCCAACTCTGATCTGCTCAGGGATAGGGGCTACCCAGCACTGTGTTGCTATGCATTCTGAAGCTGCATCCAAGCTAATGAGAAAAAGTGGTGATTGATTAGTGATGTCTGCCACGGGTGCAGGTGTGGCAAGTGATGGCACATCTGTCATTTATTTCATATCCGTAGCCCATGCAATCTCATTTTCCAAATGTCACATCCTTATGGGTACAGTGAAAGCACACACAGGGGATCGAAAGAGTTGTAACCTCACACTTCGTCAATCCAGCAGTCAAACAAACTTGATTTACAGAGTTTTCTACCAAGTGTGTACCCAGAAATGGGCACACCTGTGTTCTGAGTGCTCACCAGAATGGAAACTTCAGGAGGGCAGGAATGTCTGTGTGTTTCACTCACCGCTGTATCCCAGGTACCTAAAGGATTGCCTGACATGGAGGAGACACTGAATAAATATGGGCTGGTGTGTCACTGGCCAGAAACCAGCCTCCATGGTCAAGAAGTCCCCTTTCAGAGACGCCCTCTCTAGAGAATAGTGAATGGAGAAGGCTTTGCACAAAGGAATTCCTAAACCCAAAATGATTTCATTCTGTGTGTTTCAAAGACCCATCTAATGATGCTCATCAGGCAATTACAGCAGAACAAATGGCATTTTTCTCCACACAGTTTGTTTACAAAAGACTTGGTAATGAAGCCATATTGGAAGTCTCTCACCCGGGAGGGGGAAGGAGGCTGGCCCCTGTTTCATTTGATCCAATTACTGTCCTTCACTCTCAAGGGGAAAGGGTTCTATGTAATGAGGGGGCTCCCAGGTCTGGAAGGGAGACTTCCCTCCCTCAGTTTTCTCTCTCCTGGCTTGGAGAGCATGAGTTCCCCGAGCCCATGACAGCTCATCTGCCAGTGCTTTGTCTCCCCAGCCCCCACGGAAGGCCTACTCACAGTGCTGAAGGGACAGGAAAGCCCATCCATCTGCTAGAGACGCCTCCCTTCAGTGTTTCATTTCAGTGTTCCATTTCAGCCAGAGGGGAGCATTTTGAAAGGGCCATGTTCCCTCTGCTTCATCTCTGCTGAGACCCTTTTTCTTCTTGGTGACAGAGAAAAGAGACTGGTCTGAAAGGCTCGAGTGTATTTTCAGAAATTAAGATAAATTGATACGTGCCATCAGGACTGATGAATTAATACTTTGGCTCCAATTCCAGAGTAGGCCATCTATCCTGATGGGAAAACCCTAGAAGAGGTATTCTGAAGGTTCTGAAATTTCTGGAAGAGTCACTGATTTTTTTTTTTTCCCCCTCTTTCTTTCTCTCTGTCTCAGTCAGGAGAGATTTTGTTTCCACAGTCACACTACCAAAGTTCTCCAGGGTGGCAGTTAGAATCTTCCCAGTTCTAGTGGCTGGTTAAATCTTGAACTCCGTCGCCTGCCTGTACCTGCCTCCATGAGCTGACCCCTGCTCGTCTCTCCACCGCCTCTCAAACCCCCCCCCCCGCCAATCCTCTCGCCCCATTGCATTAGTCTGCCCTCTTGGTTACAGATGACCCAAATCCTAGTCAATCTGATTTAAGTGAAAAATCAGAATCAGTTGGCTCACACAGTTGAAATTCCGGGGCAGACCTTTTAGGCTTGGCTGGATCCAGGGACTAACCCATCTCCTCTGGTCTCCATCTCTCTCAGTCCCTTGACTCTGCTTTCACCCAGGTTGGCTTCCTGCTCAGGGCAGGCTTTCTCTTGTGGAAATACTCAGCATCCCACTGGAAAGAGAGTTCGTCTTTCCCATCATTCCTGTAGAAGTCCCCAAGTTGAGTCTCACTGACCTGCTGCTTCCTTGCCCATCCTGGAGACAGGAAAGTGGGGTTGGGCCGGTTCCCCTATCTAGAAGGAGAATGGATGTGGGGCAGAGCAAACCACAGATATCCACGCAGACGTGTGTGCACAGCCGTATGGGACTGTTCACAAGCCCTAGGTTCATGTATCAGGTCATCTTTGGAGGCACACACTGTTCACTCTTCTTAAAATGCCTTTCCTTAGTCTGGCCGGCCCACATTCAGCTTTACCTGAGCTCCCTGTGCTAGGTAGGGTCCATCCCAACGCCACTCCTGGCTTGGCTCCAGATTCCTCATGTTGACATGACCCAAGGGGTGGCCTGTCTCTTCCCCACTGGACTGTGAACTCCCTGGTAGCTAACTCTAGACCCAGTGTTTGGCCCATAGTAGGTGTTTTAAATAACTTAGTGACATCAGTTCCTATCTGATAAAACTTCCTTCGCCCTGCCCTTCCCAGACTTACATCACCATCTTTGGGTAACGGTGGTGTGGTGGGAAGTGTACTCAGCAAGAAGGCAGGGTATTGGCTTCTCATCTTGGCTCTCCATCCATACATCTGAGGGCCCTAGACCAATCACTTGCCCTCTCTGGCCCTCACATCCCAGACAATGCTGTTACAACTTTCCTTCCTATCCCACAAGATAGAATCAAATAAGATGCCATGGGGAAAGCCCTTTGACTTACACAGGTGCAAGGGTGGTTTGGATTAGAGTTGGTAGCAGTAGGACGAGCCAGAAGGAGAACTGCACAGTGTCCCCAGGAGGCCAAGGTTAGGATATCTTCCAACTCTGAGATCCAGGAGAGAGAAAGTTTCCACAGGACAATATGGATGAGCTTGCATGAGAAAGGTGGGCTTTGCAACAGTGTAAGTGGATAACTCTTGTTAATAGCAATTCGGCAAAATCTGTTCCATGCCAAAGCAAGCACATTCTTTGACCTAAAATTCCACACCCAGGAGTTTATCCAAGAGAGACAGCTGCAAGGATGAGCAAAGATTTAGGTAGAAGCTATTTATTGAGGCCTTACTTACAACAGGGAAAGATTGAAAATGACCCAAATGTACATCCTGCGGGTATAAATAAGTTAGAACGGGGCGCCTGGGTGGCTCAGTCGGTTGAGCAGCTGTCTTCGGCTCAGGTCATGATCCCAGGTTCCTGGGATCGAGCCCCGCGTCGGGCTCCCTGCTCAGTGG